AAGTACATCTGTGTGCGTGTGGTCATATTTAACACGACGTAATATAATAAAAAATGTGCGTGTAGTCATATTTAACACCACGTAATATAATAAAAATGTGCGTGTGGTCATATTTAACACCACGTAATATAATAAAAATGTGCGTGTGGTCATATTTAACACGACGTAGTACAATAAAAATGTGCGTGTGGTCATATTTAAATATAATAAAAATGTGCGTGTCGTCATATTTAACACCACGTAGTATAATAAAAATGTGCGTGTGGTCAATATTTAACACGACGTAATATAATAAAAATGTGCGTGTGGTCATATTTAACACGACGTAGTATAATAAAAATGTGCGTGTGGTCATATTTAAATATAATAAAAATGTGTATGTGGTCATATTTAACACCACGTAATAAAGAGATGGTAAAAAAACAATCCGGCGTAAAGAAATTAAACTGATCAAATCTTTTGACTAACAGGAGCACAGAGTAAAATTTTAAGCTGTGATAATGGTTAAAGCGCTCGTATACATTCTCATTTAAGAAACCGATATATACCAGATTCTCTCTATCTGCACCATTTTTGTTGTAGTTTTTACGATATAACAAGGAGACGAGGTTTACGTATAATCCGATGTAAACTTAGATATTCCAAAAATAAGCAGCGTTTAATATTGTATTTATTTTGTTCCACTATCTTCATGGCGCGTTGTTTGCACGTGTAATAAGTTTCTTTTAAAGAATTTGCCGAGTTTCTGTTATCTTAGTTTTGAAAATGGCGTGTATAATCTTTGTCAGATTCCATTCATATAGACGTGTAACATGTTTCTTTCAAAGAATTTGCCGAGTTTCTGTTATCTTAGTTTTGAAAATGGCTTACATAACCTTTGTCAGATTCCATTCATATAGGCTTTAAAATGTTATATTTCCTACTTACGCATGTCCACCAGAGATGGAACATTTTAAAAAGTTAAGGATAGTCCACCCTACTCCCCCCCCCTCCGCTACCATTACCAGTAGGTTAATTTTCAGGAGCACCCCATGGACTATTGGTAAAAGTAGCTAGAATTCTCTAGCATTCTTAACACCACCACCCGCCCTATCAGCAGTGGGGGCGTTATAATGTGACGGTCAATCCCACTATTCGTTGGTAAAAGTGTGGCCCAAGAGTTGGCGGTGTGTGGTGATGACTAGCTGCCTTCCCTCTAGTCTTACACTGCTAAATTAGGGACGGCTAGCGCAGATAGTCCTCGTGTAGCTTTGCGCGAAATTCAAAACAAACCCACCCCCACCAAAAAAAATCAAAAAATCCTGGATTTAAGAAGTTTTTAAGTGTTAACTATTATATTCATAATGTACCTATACCCACTTATTTATTGTATTTAGTATTTTATGGCATAACATAAACATTTAATGATTACACAGAAAATAACACGTTTCCTGATGTAAACCAAACGAGAGAAAAAAAGACTTAACCGTTACCATTTATTCAAGCCAGATGCGACTCTGCTACCAATAACCTAACACTAATAGTTTCATACTCTTCCAAAAGATGGCGTTAAGGTTGCCTGGACAAACAAAATTTAGGAGCAAGTGATAAGTAAGTACGCTTGTATTTATTACTTAAAAAAATGTATATATTTAGTACAGTATTGAGAATACGTAAAATTGTGTATTTGTATTATTACTGATTTAAAAAATATATACATCAAGTATTTCTAACTATAATTTTATGTATTTCTTTCTGTCTACTATTTATACTACAGCCCCCACCAGGCCAGGCCACAGCCCGCTTTTCTCTACACTAGTCAGGCGAGGAACATAGATTTCTCTGTAGCTGTCATGAGTATTTGCCACCACTCAAGCCTACAAATGTATCCAACTCCGTCCAGATAAAACAACAAAAAATCCTCTTGAAGTTCTCATGAGGAGGGGTTATGGCTACACTTTAGTAGATGGTTTCAACCCCACTTCCTTACCACCATCCATGTGCTAGCCACACGATTTTATAAACAATTATCATCACTAGTAGATACCTAGTATATCTCTATATATAGAACTCTGTGTGTGTTGTAAGTCCAAAGACTTACCGCTGTCCCACTGGGGGACAGCCATTGGATAATGCCATCATTATCACAAGGGGTAATGATGCCAAATGAACAGCATGCTACAATAGGAAATACAATTCACTATATGGCAAAAAAAACAAAAACAAAAACATTTTATTAATTGGATTTAATGTTTTTACAATTTAATCTTATTGTAGTTCTACTGAATATTTCCACGCAACAGTACTTAATTACTTAGCTGAAGAAAAAAAAAACTCACATTAAATGGTAAAATCCACAATTAAAACATATTCTTCACTGTTACTACAATACATATACACACAAAGAAAGAGCTTGTGAAGTGATGAGAAGGAGGAGCCACAAAAGGCTAATATAAAATTTACAGGGTGATGTTAAAACAAACTTAGGTTATCGGCACCACTGTTCAACCATCACTTTTTCCCACACGCTCGGCATAAGTAATTCGAAGCAAAACTTGGACTTAACGAAGAACAATTCTTCCGAGACCGTTAGATGTTCTTAGAGAGAGCTGTTTGGGGTACGAAGGGGTTTACGTCCCGAAGGAATGGGAATGTGCCGCAAAGACTTCCCGTGATGCTTTTTCTTGGACATTGTGGAGGGATTAACAAGGACGTTCTCTTTGTTGTCTTTAACTATTTGATCTCCTTCACCCTAAAAGTACCATTAAAACACAAAGTTAATACAGAAATGATATTCAAAATTACTAGATTCTTGAACAACAGTAAAATTCCCTTAACCCGTAAACAAGAAATTCCATCTTGAAAATGACACGCACAAAAAAGTTTGACGTCCGACATCTCCTGCAGTTTGATCAACAGAGTATAACTGTTCAGAATTTAGAAATCTTGTATCTGTTTTAAGAAAGAGTACTGTTTAAAAGCAAAGAGTAACATAAACTAGGATGAGAACAGTAACGATATGCGAATTATCATACCTAATGTTTAATGAAACAAAATGAAATGATAATTATCTACATTCATATTGAAGAAACAAATATTCGAAAACAGAATGTTGGAAAACTGAGAATCTTAGGACACACGCATCACAATTATGGTATTTGAATGAGTTTTTTTTTTTCATCCTTAAATTCACACATTGGATATCAACAAAACTTAGGGAACCACTTGTCACCCAGAATTTATCAGAATAGAATTACATGGATGTCATTTTCTACATTCCGTCTTCTGACCTGCCGATATCATTTTATTCACACCTATTTAAGATTAAATAAAAACAAACTGGAATCTGATTTAACAAAACTATCCCTACCCTGATCAGATATATGTTTATAACATACTAGTAAAGGTTTCTGAATGGCATTTATTTCATTGACATCGTGGGGATGGAGAGATGTCTTAATTAATTAGTTGCGATTCTTTGGTCCTTGAGGCTTAGAAATTTCTTGCATTTTTGTTTATCAATTTTAAAGACATATTCATCTTTAGCTTCGCCAGTCTGGTTAATTAATCTCCTCTTCATGGGTATTGCATTTTACACTGCAAGGGTTTAAATGTTCCATAAGCCTGGTACAACCACAGGTTCTTTTAGAAACAAAACACTAGATCTCATTGAAGCACCAGACAGTAAAGCTGTCTGACACATTACATAACAATAGAAGCCCTTCAAAACATTTATAAAACTAGATACCATTGAAGCACCAGACAGTAAAGCTGTCTGACACATTACATAACAACAGCAGCCCTTCAAAACATTTATAAAACTAGATACCATTGAAGCACCAGACAGTAAAGCTGTCTGATACATTACATAACAACAGCAGCCCTTCAAAACATTTATAAAACTAGATACCATTGAAGCAC